CCATAAATCCATAATTTTTCCTTACATTTTTATCCTTATATTCTTCGAAAAACTGGATATCAAAAGCAAACGATATCATTCAATAAGGATAATTCTACTTGTACATTATGTCATTCATAATGGATGACATAATGTACAAGTAGAATTATCGTATTGGAGGGTGTGCGGGTGGACCAGCACACTCTCCAATAATGTACTGTCACTTGTACATTATGTCATCCATTATGAATGTCATAATGTACAAGTAGCACAACCCATTCAATAATTCATTTGAAACATCCGTTGAAATTTAAAATCACGTTACGGCCTCTATTTTGCTTTCGGCTGACAGGGTACTTTTTATTCGACAAAAATCACATGGATGGTCCCACAAGTTTGCATTTTATATCCGAATAAGACCATAGCAATCATAAAAATAATGAAAGGCAATAACGAAAGTTACTTATTGAAAATTAGATTATGCATTATCTAGAAAAAACTGCATATTTAATCCTTATTCTTTAGCCTCTTTATGTTTTCGTCCCCAAACTATAAAATCACACATTTCAATTCCCAGTATTTAATTCCTACGGCATAATTATTCCTTTTTATCACATTCTATCACACTTGACACGTCTCTTAGAAAATTAACCACGTGCATTTCACGTTACATATTTATGCCAAATGTGATAAGAATGTGATGAAAAGGGACTATTTGTGCAAATGGGATTAAACCTTGGGGATTGAAAATTACAATTTTAAATGTTGGGTGCCAAAAGTGAAATTTTAATATTGGGGAGATACTCTTCCCTCTAAAAAAATTGACTATATGCTTTCTACTTGATAGGTACATGAACGCGTTGTTTGACTAAAAGTGGTAAAATAGTTATTAAACGTTGAGATCTGAAGATTGCAGATAGAAATTGGAGGGGCACTAAAGATTGGGACTAAATGTGTAATATAACATCTACTTAATTGTCAGAATGATTATTCTATGTGTACACCTTGTGGTGTACACAATCTATTACACCCCCTCACATGGAGGGGGGCCCACAAATATTTTATTGTGTTTAGGCCCCCTCCATGTGTGAGGAGTGTAAAAGATTGTGTATACATAGAACTATCCTTGTCAGAATAAATACTTTTTTTTTTGGTTAAAAAATTATAGCTCGTTTAAGCACGCTTGAATTAGAAAGTCTTTAAGGTTAGCCAAACATTTGATGCCACATTGCCATGCCATTTGTCCGGTGGCCCCCTCATTTTTTTTTACCGTTACGAGGCACAACATTTTCAAACTTCGTTCTTAGTAACAAAGCAATTACTTTTCTTTTTTTATGTCATTGTCTCATGATCTTTTCTCCTTTCCTTTTCCCTTTTTACACACACTCTCTCTCTCTCTCCAAGACAACGTTTTCAAATCTGTAACATGTTCTGTGAAAACCCTCATATCAACTCTCCATTTGGTTATTCTCCTGAACCCAAAGCCCAGAAACAGTTTCTGGTTCAAATGGCTATTCCAGCTTCAAAGGTTCTGTTTCTGTTTTTCCTGTCCATTGTTCTTGTCCCCTCTTCTGGTAAGTACTAAATTTGTATATTGCATTTGCTGTACACTATTAGTGGATCTTGCTCAAGTTATTGGTATTTATAGGGTTTACGATTTTTTATCTTTTTTTTCTATATGCTTTTGTACTAAAATCAAGTGAAGAATATGTGCTTTTAGTTTCTTGGATCAGAGCCAAAGTGAATGGTTAAATGAGATACTAATTTGTAGATCCAGTGATCATAGATGCTACTTTTGAGTGATTTTGGACTAGAGCAAGCTCTCATATGAGTATACTAGTCTACATGACACGAAAAATAACTGCATTCTCCGTGTTACAGAAGCACATCTGTTCAAGGATGTTGAAGAACAACAAATATTTTACTATGAAGCGATTCAACATGATGTAGTTTTTCCATCAACCCCAGTCACAGTCACTGTGCCTCCGGATAATTCAGCACCGGCAATTATCACCATTCCCTCTACAAACACTGTGCCTGTACCTAATACAAATCCAGTTAATCCACCAGCACCAGTAACAACCCCGAGCACAAAACCCGGGGGTCAACCAGCGAGTAACCCTGTAACAACTTATCCTAGCCCAACTGGAGTAGGTGTTCCTGTGACAAACCCGGTGACGCCTCCTGCAGCAACAAATGCTCCTGCAACTACGAGGAAGGGTTGGTGCGTGGCAAAGACTGGTGTACAACAGAGTGCACTTCAAGCAGCGCTTGATTATGCTTGTGGGATTGGAAAAGCAGATTGTTCGGCCATCCAGCAGGGCGCAAGCTGTTATAATCCTAATACTTTGCAAAACCATGCATCGTACGCCTTCAACAACTATTATCAAAAGAATCCAGTGCAAACCAGCTGCGACTTTGGTGGGGCTGCTGCAATAACCAATGTGAATCCTAGTAAGTATAGAAAATTTATCTCTTAAATGAAATGGTCACTTAGAACTTAAAGTGCTGACTGTTCACACCTTTTTTATTTACATATAGGCGTGGGATCTTGCATTTTCCCAACATCGTCGTCCTCTTCGACCCCGCCAACAACAGTGTCTCCAGTCTCATCAACTCCGCCAACGACAGCATCTCCAGTCTCAGCAACTCCTCCGCCAACAACATCATCTCCAGTCTCGGGAACTCCAACACCAACAACAACATCTCCATCTGGAACAACACCTAGGTAAAGACTAATTCTAATGGCCACAGAACTGTGTATCATATGATCTCACAATGTTGGAAAGTAATCCATGAAATCTAATGCATTTCTTCACTTCATCCGTGCAGCACAAGCACTCCTCCATCCGTCTTAAACTCTAGCAGTCCGACTTTAGGAGGATTCCCTACAAGTTTCGGAGATAGCCCTCCTCCTGTTTTTGACACCTCGACATCTGCTTCAAGTTCTTTGCAGCCTTTTATTGGCTCTATTACTTCAGCGGCATTCATAATCACAGGGAAATTCATTTTGGATTATCAAGATTTAGCATTCTGAATGGATTAATGGGTCAGAAGCTCGTTCCTCAACTAGCATATCAGTTTTGGGCTATTCAGACTGTTCTCGTAAATTTGCAGAGCTCGCTGTTGCAGTCTGCTCATGTTTCACACCAATTGACACTAGTTGCACTTTCTACTACTGGTTCATTATTTATTTAGAGAAGGTATTCTGTTAATCTTGTAGAGCCAGTGGCTTTACCTGATGTCTAGAAAAGTTAAATTTGATTAGATAATCAGACCGCCATAGTAGGATGGTCCAAATGGAGATGAGTGAATAGCCCAGAAATAATATATATCGTTCTCTCACTTCATCTTTGTTTGTTTTTAGCTCTTCCTTTTCTGTTCCTTTCTATGTTTTCTCCGGAGGAGGTTTTGTGGGTGAAATGTTTTGTGTTCATGGACAGGAACTTCAAGAGGTAGTTAACCGTGCTGTCCTTCCAAAATCCACACGCTTGCAACTTTCAGTTTACTAATAGATTTGAAAATTCTCTTCTAAGATTGAATTATTATCCAATTTTGGTTGTGCATAAAGCCTATCTTCCTTGTGGCCCCTGTGCCAGCTGACATTGGAGTCGGCATCGGCCACATTTTCCTTTTGAGCCAAAACGGTGCAGCCCACACGAAAAAAATGCAACATCTAGTAAGGCTAATGCTAGTCTGGTTGGCAGCTTGCACATGCCATGGCCATTTAGTTTTGTGTTAATGCTGGGCCATTTACAGGGTGAGCCACCATGTGCCTTCACATCACGGCTCACCTTTACACACTCACTCTGTTTCCTCTTTATATTGCAGATTTCTTTATTTGCAATTTATATTTTGAATTATTTCACTTAGAATAGAAGGACGTGGGGGCAATCTTAGGGTCCATGACTTCACACGGACAAATCAAATGACAAGATTTCTTTCATTTGGATTAAATAGGTCGATTACATGATGCGTTCCCAACTACCATGATCAACTTGTTCGTTACAACCAATTATCTGATATTCAAACACAAATTGCCCCGTGAATTGATTTCATAGGATAGCCGATCCATTTCCATTTCTTTATGATAGCAGCCTGTGCAAAACTAATTGAGATAGTTCATTGTTTTTCTGTTTTCTTAATCTCGAGGAAGAAGCTATAATGCCACAACTTTATAATCTGGGCTAGGACTGGGCAACGGGCCGGGTCGGTTCGGTTTTGAACCAAACCCAACCCGGCCCAAAATTTCGGTTATAACATATTTTTTGAAACTGACCCGAACCGGGCCGGGGCCGAACCGATCCCACCCGAATCAGGTCGGTTCGGGCTGATTTTCCCCTTCCTTGAAACCCAACTAAATCGTAGCACCGGAGTGCACTGGAGTTCATGACTTCCAATCAATAACAGTCAACATTTAGCAGAAATATGAATTCTCTCAACAACAATTCCCAGAAACACCATAGCAAATGTTCATGCTCAATCACGTCATACTAAAATTAACACCCGCAACGATTACACCATCGCCCAAACCCAAAATTCCCATATAATCTAAATCGACATTCAATTATCTAAACCCCATTGTAACAAAACCATTATAAAACAGCAAACAATAAAATGCAAATATGAACCAAACCTTAACAGCGAGGGCAAGAACGGCTCGCATTTTGGGCTTGGAATTACAGCGCACATAAGAAGTCAGCCCATTATCAAGCTGGCCGTAGTCAACGTCATACGGCGGCTCTGGCAACACGTCATCTAGGTTAGCGTTGACCAATTTCAATGAACAGAACCCGTGTTTCTTCTTACTCAAGATCTGCAACGATTCTACGAGCAACAAGTCCACGATTTTTTGTATTTTCTCACACTATCAGTGAGATTTTTTTGCAAATTATTTGCATAGTCAGCATACATATACACTGCTAGGCTTTTTGAGGAAAGAAGCATGGGAGAGGAGATTGCAGGGAGGCTACGTTTTGAAGTTGAGAGCAAGGGCTTCACTGCGGAGTGATTTTTGGAAAGGGAATACAGTTTCAACTTTTCATATCGGGTTGGGTCGGTTTGTAACGTAAACCGGTCCGAGTATCATAATTTTAAAATAAAACCGACCCGACCCAATTCATTTTAAAGTGAAAACAGACCCAACCCAACCCGGGTTGGGTCGGGTTCGCGGTTTATAGGCCCAGCCCTAATCTGGGCAGATGTTAAAGATCTGATGAAATGATATAACCGGTCAAGGCAACCCCATCAAGACTGATGGTCGGATACCTCATTACATGTGTATATTATACATCAACCACAGAACACAAAAGGACAATCATCTATTCATTCTTTGCATCTCATAATTCAGCAACAGATAGAAAGCAATTTCACTAGAAAAAGTATGCAATAGAATGTTTTCATTTAAAATTTGGATCCACACAATGTGAACTTCATCTTAATAACAAATGCTTGAAAAGAGGTTTCTCGTTCTTGCATTGAATATGGATAAAATAGAAAAGGACATTTAGAATGCACATTTCTACAAACAAAACAGAATTTGATTATACTCTTCTCCTAACCTGGATAGATAATTTCAACATTACCTCTTCGAGAACATTGCCAAAAGAACATAAGATAGATCATGCATATGTACGAGACTCTGGCATACACAAACTGTGTAGGCATTCCAGTTGCCAGTTGGGCATATAAAAATACACAACAGCATCATCTGAATCTATCTTCAGCTTAAAAGGTCCAGCAAACAAACAAAATTCAGCTCGAACAAATCTAAGCCACTCAGGACAAGTCAACTTTCCCTTTCCCATCTTTCAGGAAGAAGGTTCTTTGGTACCAATAACTAGTTACATTATCAATCAATTGTTAGATTTCGAACTAACACACTAAACTGCTAAGATATAAATCATTCTTCGTTAGTCCACGTTCAGTAAGACAATAACATGAGAGGAATGGGAAAAAAAGTAGTATTGGTTTAACACAGTAACACCTGAACGGAGAGATATGACCAAGGAAACAAAGTTCAGATTCAATTTCTCAAAACAAAGGGGAGCCACAGAATATCATAACAAGTTATAGAAAATCTTTACATAAAACTTAGCCCAACATTGATGAGATAGACAAATATAAGAATCAACTAATCCGAACAGATATAACTCACAAAATCTACCACAATTGTGATCACATTCTAATGAAATATTGCTACTAACCTCTGTATGCTATCAGAAAACCTGAAATCGGAAACCACTATTATAAATAAATGAACAAAAATCCAGAAATATTTAACCATTCAAAAAAATTACAAGTTCATCTTGATTGTCATAATATTTAAATATATTACCGTGAACAGCACCTCCTAACTATTGCTGTGTCCCATTATTATGATGCCGTTCATTATTTTCCTTGTGCTGCTGCATCTGATCCTCAACATGTGGAACCAAAAACATCCCCTCAATCACTTCCTCCATTTTCTCCTAAATAAGCAGACGTCTCACTCCCACCAAAGCTATTCATCTCAACAATTGACTCCCCATCGTTGGATCCAGAACTCACTCTCATGCCTCCATTATTGTCAACGTCCATGGGCACACAATTATCATTCAAAAGCTTCCCTGATACTTCATCTAGGGCCTTTGTTCCACCCATTTTCTCATTTTCCCCCAACTCCGCGCCGTCCAATGCTGCCAGCACCTGACATGAATTATCCACTCCATCCACATTTCTTGTCGAATTAGTTTTCTCTTCCACAACTGCCAACGGACGAACACCACCATCTGCATTTTCACTTCTAGCACCGTTACCATTATTAACATTAGTATAATTTTCTCTAGTCACTTGTGCAATACCACCACCCAGATGACCCACGTTCCCACCACCACCCAAATGAGGCACACTCTCGCCAACACTGGGCCCGGAAACCTCAGGTGATATCAACAGAGCTGCTTCCTTCTTTCTCACCTTCTCCTTCACAACCAAGTATGCCACGTGTTCCAATGCTTCTCTTGCCCTTTTCCTCGTGAATGCAGCCTCCTTAGCCCTTCGCTCAGCTTCCGCCCTTGCTGCCACAGCAGCCTTAGCCATAGACGCTGCGGCAATCTTTGCAGCAGCCAACAAGATCTTCGCTGCAGGCTTATCAATCACCCTATAAACCTCACTCTTTCCACTCACGTCCAAACTTTCACCCCCGCCAATAACATTCGCTTCCGTTGCCTTATTCAAGTTAAAAATTGGAGAGCTTGGGTTAACGCAGAGGGGGCAAATGTAGTGGTTGACTGCAGAAGCGGGGGAGGTGACGCAGTAGGAGTGGGAAGAGGAGTAGCATTTGGAACATGTGATAACGGAGTCGGGTGGTGGAGAAGGAGGGTAGACCTGGAAGCAAGTGGGGCAGAATGATTGAGGATGAAGGCGGAGGACACAGGTGGAACAGAGCCGACGGAAGATCCCACGGTGGCGGACGTGGTGGAGTAGCCGCCGCTCCTCCACACCGCAGTTGCCGCACGCTTTGACGGCAGAACTGGTGGTGTGATCTTGCTTTATAATCATGTTCATCAGAATTTTTTCATTGCAAAACAAAACAATGGAGATACCAATACGAAATTTAACAGATTAAATTCTTACTCAAGGTTTGCAGGTAGGGTTTCGCGGAGTGGAGGAGAAGAAAAAATAATGCAGTGAGTACGTCGTCGTTTTTATGGTTTGTGGAGATTCATCATTAAATCCTCACAATTTAACGGATCAAATTTGTATAATACTATGTTAATTTATTTTTTCTTATTTAATATAAAAATATATTAATAAGAAGTTAAAAACCAATTTGTAATTTNTAAAAATATATTAATAAGAAGTTAAAAACCAATTTGTAATTTTAAAGGGTGATATTCGTACATAATGTGGAGTTCATAACGGTGTCTATCCCTTACATGGAAGGGACCCACTTCGAATAAAATATAATATATCTGAAATGGGTCTCCTTCTAAGTGAGGATGTGGATACTGTTATAAACACAGTATTTAGGTGTGGGCAAAAAATCGATCGAACCGACGAACCAGACCGAACCGATCCAACCCGACCGGGTTGGGTTGATTTTTTTTCAATTTTTTCATTCGGTTCGGTTTTTTGCAAGGTTAAGCGGGTTGGGTCGGGTTATGGGTTAACCCACCCAACCCGACAAAAACAGCCCAACCCGACCTGCCAATTTGATTTTAAAAAAAAAAACAGGTTTTTTCTCAAACTAATAAAAACCCTAAACTTCCCCACGTTTTATTTTTACAGCCAACTCCTCTTTTTCCATAGAATACTGCTTAGTCAGTTTGATAAATCGGTCTGGCGATCGTGATGGCGGTGGCTGCCCGCGGTGGAAGAGTTGAATTGGGTTGTGGATCCGGGCTCCGTAACTATTTCAGCTACAGGATCTTCGTTGGCGTTCACTCTCCTCTTCCTCGCTACTCTCTCTCTCCCTGACTTTGTAACTTATCAATTTGTAAGCCAACAAATACTATAAGCTCCTATAGGACCAGTTTTTGAATTTATTGAGCCTTATTCAATCCGGCGTTACCTCCAACAAATATGGCTTCAATTGGTGAGAAATTAATCTTGTCTTACAAGCTCTGCCATTTCCTGTTTAATTACTTTGTGTGTTTTTTTGTATACTCAATTAAATCTTGTCTTTATGTGTATATATCTTTATATGATATGGATGCGTTGAAAGACACTTCGGTGGGTAATTAGAAGAGAAAGTCATGTTGGAACTTGGAAGGAAAATTGGATCTATTTGTCAAAATTTGGGCTGCTTTTAGATTTTGTGAACTACATTAATAACTGCAATTTTTTTGTCTGTGTGCTTGAGAATCTCAATTTGAGATCATTTATTTTAACGTAGGAATTTTTTTGACTCTATTTTATCGTTTCTGTTCCATTTAATTGTGGAGAATCTAGAGATCATTGGGAAAGTATACATTTTATTGGAAATTTAGATGACATTCAAATAACAAGTTCAATTGTTACTGGCCATCAAGCGGAACAGAAAAAAAATTTCAATGTCAATGGGAGTTATTATTTCACATTATCTATATAAACCGACCAACCCAACCCTACCTGACCGACACATAATTCGGTTGGGTTTCAACATTTACATGGGTTGGGTTGGGTTGGATTTCGAACAAACCGACAATGTTGGGTTGGTTTTGGGTTGGGGCAAAAACCGACCCAACCCAACCCACGCCCACCCCTAATTGCATGCTCCATACCCTCGCTAGGATCTCAATTCATTTAATTCCAACATGTGTCAAAAAAATTGAAATTTATGATTCAAACCGACCAACCCAACCCAACCCGACCGACACATAATTGGGTTGGGTTGGGTTGGGTTTCAACATTTACATGGGTTGGGTTGGGTTGAATTTCTAGCAAACCGACAATGTTGGGTTGGGACGAAAACCTACCTAACCCAACCCACGCCCACCTCTAACCGTATTATGTACAAGTAGCATATTCCACAGAATTATTACCTTTTCAAAATTTCGAGGTATCAAAAAAATTTGAAATATTCCGTATAACTTTTTATTAAAAAATAAACATTTAAATTGACATCTTTCGTAACATTTTGCAAAAAAAAAAAATTAACATTTCAAGTGTAGCCCCGAGTATGGCTAACATATTACGTTTTTAAGATGACATATTGTGTAACATGTCATTCTTGAAAAAAAAAAAAAAAGGGAAAATGTTACCACGAATAGGTTATTCACTTTTTTGGCTTCAATTTTTTCCAAGCAAAAGTCTGTCTTCACTATTATGTTACTAATCATCATGGGTATGAAGATTAGAGTTGGAACCCCCAATCTAATGCCTTGTTTGGTAAGAATTAAAATCAGATATTAATTTAATTCAAAGCCAAAGAATCAATATTAACCACATCTTTCATGGGTCCCATAACTTTTTAAGCACACATTTTAAGAACTTTTATCACAATCTTCTAAAAATATAATTTTAATTCCCATCAAACACCCACTAAGTACGAAAGAGCTACACAGAAATGAAGACATATGCTTACAGAATAGCATAGCAGCAGCACTTCAAAATATTTAAAAAATCGACAGAAGGAACAACTATGGTCTCCCTTAGACATCAACTCTTATTGCAAGCTTCCTTCCATGGAAATCAAACTGGCACTTCTGCCAGTAATGATGAAGATGGAAAATAGGAAAGACAAAGAAACAATGTGCACTTAGTTCTTTGTTTCCATATAGAACTGCTTGATGTTGAACATGAGTAATTTTCCGTTCATGAAGATATTCCTAGCTACATGCCACAGACATATAGTATCGTGTCTCACATAAAAAATTTCACCGTATTGAATGATAATTCAAAGTGAATAGTAGAGGCAGGCAATAGGCAACCAACGCAAAACACGAATTGTGAGTCAGATGACCCGAGCATGTCAACGAATTCCTAACTACATGACAAATGGACCATTTAGCGGATTGAAAGGCTCAAGGAGGCTGATCTTACTGTGCCAAATGTAAAACTAACAAACAGAAAGAATTTGTATGAAAAAAATAAAAGTATACTTCTAAGCAAGCAGACTGCAAGTCTACCTATATCATACAGAAAAGTCATGTAATACGAGATATAACTTGTGAACAGAGGGGAGAATTATTGATGTCATGTGTTTTGCTTTCTTTTCATATTGATCTCCAGATAATTAAATGTACCAGTCATTCGAAGTCATCAGTAGTTTGAGAACGTTAAATAGATATATCTAAAATAATTTCTCCCAAAAAGGTTACAATCGTACTTACATAGCCTAGCACTCCAAAAACTCTTTACAAGTTGACTTGTTGTGCCCAGTACCCTTGCATCTACTGCATTGGAGTTGACGTTTCACTACCTCTTGTGAGCCAACCTTTTTAGTAGTAGGCTGGCCTGGTGGACGACGAGTTGGGGGAGTTACAGTTGTACCAAATTGTGAAGTACCTTTCTGCCAGGGGTCATCCACGTTTGAAATGGGATGTATAGACTCTGAATATGTAACTCTGTAGCAATCAGTTGTGAAGTATCGTGCACAGTAATCATGTGGATTGCGGTCCAGGCAACCAATGACTGCAATGGCATGGCAGCAAGGCAACCCAGTAAGCTGCCAACCTTTGCAACTACAGTCACAATTATCCACATCTACCGCTTCAATAGAATCCCCACGGACCTCAAATTTGTTACCAGTGGATTTTGATAACTGAAGCCTTCTCACTTTCAAGCTTTCCCTTTCTAATTTTTCCTCCATTGACGGAGTCAATCTTGTCAACCATTGGTTAGATTCTGTCCGCCGCATATAAATCAATTCCATAATCTTACCTCGTATTGCATCAACCATCTGGGTAATTGGCAATTCATGTGC